ACAACGACAATATCGAAACTAGCATTGCTCAGAGTCTCTGGGTTTGGTAAGAATCGTTGAGCTTATCACTGCGGAGTTCCCGCCACCGGTGTAGGATCCCGTTTTCAATTGTTCAGTGTCAACGGTAACGTTTTTGGAGCTCAAAGCTAAGCATTGAGGGTCAATAATTCAGGAATTGAAGTTTCGTTGTCGCCTTCGTGCAGCCAGGGTTTAATGGATTTAATCCATTTATATATAGTGGTTTTACACTCCATGGCCCACGATCAAAGTAGGCTCCCATAAAGTTCGACAATCTGGGGTTTACGGTTACAGGGTCAGAGTAGTGTGGTGCCTATAGCTATCCTGCTACACACTTGTTTGGCAGGTTGCCCTACAAGTTCTGAGACCTTGGGGCGGGAAGATTCGAGGAGTCCAGATTCTAGGGTGTTGTGGCCTGAGGAAGAGCGCCACGTCTTCAGAATTTATGGTGTTGGAAGGATCGAGAGAAGGCAGATGATTACCTCCCGTTCCCTATCAGTGATTCTAGCATCACCTCGCACAAGCTGTGGCCTGTACCGGGGAATGTAAACAAATGTTTTACGCCCTCACCCACTATGCTGCATTTCTCTTTCCTGTGACGAGTGCGGTACTTCTTTTAAATCGGTGTAGCTCGATTTCTGTTTAACTTTGTCATTGTGTACGTGCCGCCACGCCGTTAGAGTCTTACCCTGTTTCGTTTATCCCTCTTTTCCAGTGTACACCCGTCTGTGCTTCTCCTGCTGTCACCGTCTACCCTACTGTCGCTCCAGGCAACTTGTTGCTGGGAAACATTTGCGTGATCAGGCCAGCAGTGTAGGTCGCAGTTCTAGGACCTGCGTTTCCATTATTTATCATCCAAACTGTAGGGTTTCCCAATAGCTTTGCTATTAATAGGCGTGCCGACAACGTATCAACGAAAAGAAAGGGCAGGCTACACTAGCCCTTGAGCGTGACTAATACTGTAAAACAAAAGTGGTTGCACGTTGATGCCAAATTGCGCTAAAAGTATCCACTGTATATAATAGCGAAAGCGTGATCCCATAATAGGAGGGAAAACTAGGCCGTACGCCTAAATTCGTGAGTCGCATAAGGTGTGCGACGAACAATGTCGAACTCTTGGGGATGCATCTGTTTCGCTACAGAGCATCTGGCTGAGCCGTCCGGCAAGACGCAAACTCGGGTAATAACTTGCATTGGGCATCTGATATTTCAGTGGAGATGGATGCTTGTCAAAGCACAACCAAATTAGCTGAGAGCGACAGCAGGGGAAAAAGAGACCCTCAGCTGGATGCAGAGTAGCTGCAGGCACGTTGGTTGAAGGTGTTTGATGTGTTTGATGCTGCTCAGACGCCTAGACGTTCTATCGCTGTATGTGTTGTACTTCTCCACGCACGCGGCAAAGTCACTGAGTGAGGGACACACGACATGGTCAAGAAACGGGCTGAGGTGGAGATTAAGATGCGGGCACGGAGACGAATCAGGCAAACGGGCAAACACAGAACGACTCAGACGAAGGAATCGCAATCAGGAGGAAGACGAGGTCAACGCAGATAAAGAAATAATAAAACCTACACAGCCATAATACGTGTTCATGCTCTCCACACCCGAACAAGGGGGACTGTTGAAGAGCCTACTCTCTAGGTCGACTGCCAAAGAACCTACTGTCTAAGCCCTACGCACAGTGTAGTGGGATCAAGCCATGCGCTAAGACTGGCTTGATTACCCTATCTAGCATAAGCACAGGCAACGCTGAAAGCTCAAATGTACTCGTATTCGATATCATACACGTACGTTCTTAGCCGCCCCTCAAACATTACACCAGGGCCTTAAACCAGGTGAAGCATTTTCATATAAGACGAACGTGAAGCATGCAAATTACTGTTGCAACATAGACAAAGCCATTGTACGAAAGTCAGCGGGAGCACTAACTGCAGCATAAGCGGAAGTTAAGATGATAGCAGCAACGTTTGGCGCGACCCGTCGAAGGAGCAGCGCCAGTAATATCTAAGCAGTATTAAATTTCAGTTCTGTAGCAGTCCAGTGGTTACGTAGAGGAGAGATGTGGAACTCACTGCTCTATGCTTCATCATCCAGCGTTCATGATAGACATCATTTGTAATGTGGCCCTATATCCGGCGCCAGGGAAGCCAATGGAAGGAAATATTAGAATTGTATTTTTGCCTCTGTGTTACAGAACGCATATATCACCTAATATTGCATAATGTGCCTTCCAATTTGTTGGAAAGTGATTATTTACCTTCCTCTTTCGATCTAAATGGTGAATTCATTATCAGCACCTATCTAATCTCGCTCTCCACAATCTGGTTGAATGTTGCTTCGTCGTGGTATAAGCGTACATCGTATTTATAGAAGGGCAGCTGCATGCGTACAGTGCGCGATGCATGATCCTTGCTATCTAGTTCATTTGCTAAATCAGCTGCGCCCGATTCTACTAGAGCCGAAACTCTCGGTTACGTTGAGTGCTCCACAATGGAGTGAATGCATGATTGCTTCTGACAACTCCTCTGCACTGCGTTGAGTTCCGCAGCCCTTTCCTCTTGGGACAACAATTCCAGTTTTAACTCCGCACAGGATGCATGGGCTGTTAGGAGATCCGAAGAATGCATCTACGCGTTTATTTGCAGCACATAGGTCTTAACCGTGCCTTCTGCAGGCTGCATGTGTGCCCTCCACTAAATTGCTCGCGAAACGCGGAGATTAGCTGTAGAGTTGGCCCAACGCGCAAATCCCATATCAGGCACCACGCTAGTGTCTCCTCTTCCGTACTTATGTCCACATGTGTACTCACAGTTTTGAAAATACTTAGCTTAAGGGTTTCCAAAAAGCCGCTGACATCCTCTAGACTCTGCGTAAGGGCCTGGGCAGTTTGTGAAGAGGAAGCAGCATGCCATGCTACAAGCGTTGCTGCACCTACGACTTCTCTGCGCAGCGGAGACAGCGGATGGGTTCCTCGCTTTTGTGGGGCTGTAGTGCCGCATTTGGAATGTTCCTCGAGAACGACAACCTTTCCACAAAGAACTGTCGGATCATTAAGAGCGTCTACGTCCTTGCTCGAGTAGTTGCCGCGCCCCCCCGTCTTTATGAAGGGGGGGGCGCGGCAATGATGGCTCTATATAAGAGTAAGCGTTCTGCTTTGGCTGGGCGTCTCCCTGCAGTAACGGCTTCCTGAGAGGCGCTGAGGTGCAGGTATATTCACAGATCGCCAAGGGAAACTGCAACGGCAGAGCTGAGAAGACTCAAACAAGGAAAACTGTCGATTAAGAAATGCATCAAGATCAGTGCTCTGTTAACAGAACTGCAAGACCTGGCTCGGCGCTTCTATATCAATGCTTCATTGCAGGGTTGCCCCTTGGCGAGAGGCAATTGGTAGCCCTCTGTGCGGTGGAGAAGGAGCTAGGAGAAGGTGGCAGTCGCCAAGACAGTGATTGCTTTTGACAAAAAAGAGGAAAGGCGACCACAGTAGCTGAGAACGAAGAAAACTGATTTCGCAGTAACCTGGATATTGAACGTAGGGATACTTTCTAGCCCTTTCCAGAAAGAAATCCAAAGCGAGAACATATCGCAGCCCTCGAGGTTGAAACACAGAAAGCAAGGGGAAGGTTCGAGGCGGCGTGTCTGTCATATAGTTTGATATTGCAGACGCATGAGATGATCCAAAGAAATGGACGGGGAAACGTCGAGTCGTCCCCCCCAGGGGAGAAACGAAACGCACAGTGAAGCGATCCGGCCCACACGTAACATATGGCTCAGTGATGCAGCCAAAAGATGCGGCGGGCGCTCCTGCAAATCCGCAAGCCACGTTCATACGAGTGGCGGAGAAGTGAGTGATGCACTTGACACTATGGCATCTGAAGCTACGGCGTGGAGGTGCATCTTACTAGTCGTTTTGTTTACTGCGACTACGTTTCGAGTATGGCAGGCACGATAAGAGGGTCGGTACATCTATGTGGAGCCTTATGCAGACCTAAATTGGTATTGGCGCATGTCACCATGATACATATTATAGGGTTACTCCTATTGTGGAGCAATTCACAACGACGTAGTTCTGCGCATGCCGAGGGTGACGCATACAAGCGATGCGGACTCCAGACGACACTGCTCCAGCTGATGCATTTCCCAACGCATCCACAGGCTATTTTCGTTTCCTACTGTAGGAAAAGTAGAAATACGGTTACACAACGATGGGAGCAACGAGGCTCCACCGCAGTGGAGAGGCGCTGCGGGAGACCGCGGAGAAATGCATGCAACCCGCCGTCATCTTCCTACGAAGACCGCTGGGGCATTCAATCCATTTAATACCCGACACATTGCGCACGTCGGTACACTTGAAGGAAGAGGCCTCAGATGCGTGCCCATATCCAGTACACATAGTGCACTGCATGGAAGTCACTCCCGTCCGAGCTCCAAGCTTTGTTCCCTGGTACAGGCGAAGCCCGCATCTTGAAGCGGATGTTTACCGGAAAGCAGAGCAATTTCCAAGAAAATGCGGATTCCCAACGTCAACTAGAATACTTAGACAATATCAGCGCCGACGACGCAAAAAGAACGGAAGGTGACGCAAGTGCGTCGACGTCAAGTCCTTCACAAAAACCACGGCCACCAGCTCGAGGGCATTGAGCAGCTGTACTCAGGGCCGCTAGAGACAGGTGGGGAGGTCAGGTGATGCAGAACCATTGACATATGCCCTCTCTCTCAGTTGCAGCTCCTAAGGGCCCTGGGGGCGACGATATATGCTGCAGTCCATGTGACCACGTAGGAGATAGACGCAGCGGCGGGGAGCGCTTAGTCCCTCCTCACACTTTTTGGCGGTCTGAGGAAGACCGCTGTTTTGTCGAAAGGCGAATGCTTTGAATAACTCAAACGCAGATTCATCAGGAATTCATTCAGCCGTCTTTCTGTTCATTGTTCGTTATGCATCAAGGATAGGCCACCGGCAGGGAGAAGAGGAACTCCTAATTGCCTTAGCTGGGACAACAGTAGCATCAGAGGGCACAACGCGTGTCGTCGTTGAATAGCTGTTTCAGCTTTTAGAGTCTTAGGGCTTAGGATGCTTACGGTTTAGGGTGTAAAGTTTAGGGCGTAAGGGTGTACGGTCTAGAGTTTAGGGTTTGGAGGTTAGGGCTTAGGGTCAAGGGCCCAGGGGCTGAGTTTAGGGGTTGAGATTCACCATGGCACGCATCTTAGTCTTTCGACAAATACCGCTGCTGCTGAAGAGGGCAACAACACCTCGAAGAGACGTTGCTGAAAATGCAGATCGACAAAGGAAAGAAACACAAAGAGCAGCAGAGGAGCGGAAAAAGGCATAAACAGACACATAAGCATTGAATGCAACAAGCAAGACGTGCACCGAAGATTCCCCACGTTGCTCACGCAAAGCTGTGCTACTGGTCAGCAGCAGCAGCGTCAGAATCAGGAGGCAGCTGCAATGCATCTGAGGAAGCGGCTGCTAATGCGAAGGGCAGTCGAAGCAGTGGATGAGGAGAGACCTCAGGGGGAGGATTTGCAGCAGGGGACACACTGAGCGGCAGCAGAAACAACAAGCGGGTGCGCGACAGGGAGTCGACAACCATTTGAAGCAGCACCGGCTTCTTTTCCCTAGGCTCGACTGCCAGATGAAGCCATTTCTGCTGCACAGAAGCAGCAACAACAGCAGTAACAGGAGCTGCACCAGGAGCGGAGCCGACAGCCTGACGCTCAGCGGAATGCACTCCCTTCCAGGCACTAATTGTCCGCCTGGCCTCTTTTCAGCAGTGCGTGCTGCAGCTGCCGCTGCTGCTGGTGCTAGTGCAGTCCGCCAGCATCTGCAGCAGCTGCTAAGTTCGCCTCCTGTGGCCGCAACACGACGCTGTCATTTCCTCACAGCAAGTGTGTCTGTCTCCGCCATAAGGGGAGGGCTAAAGAGAGCTCTTCAGTCTCACTTCATCGCGGACACACAATTCTGCTGCCTGGTTCCTCTACTGTTGCTGCACCCTGTTAGCAATGGTATCATCCATAGCCGCTGCAGCACACATGTGCTCGCACATATGCTGAACCATGCGTGCAATTGTACACAAGGTTCCCGTGCTTTTCTCTCTCCCCTGTGTTTCTACAAAGAACACAACTCGAACCCTAAATACATATATCTAAAAACAACGCTTTATACCGCTTATTCATTGCATTCACGAAGTGCGACTGCCTCATATTGTAGGAGGGTGGAAACAATGCAAACAGACGGCCGCTGGTGAGAAGCAAGGGCGGGGAGACGCCGAGGCAGCCAGACAACTCAAGAGATATGCATACACACCGACCAGCACAGGAAGGCATGGAACGACACCTAGAGAAGCACTAAGAAACGGAAGGGACAGAAAGTGCCACATAAAAGCTGCTACGGGGAAGGGGAGATTAACAAAAGCCGTCATCAGGCCTCAGGC